TTTATTACCGTTTAGGTTTTTAAACTCTGAACTTTCATATTGTCTCCTTGCTATTCCCTTTACAACATAATGATGCCTAAATAATTCAGTTTTCATTGTGTCCATTTGGTTGCAAGTTTCCACTGCCATTCTGCACCCAAACTCAATACTTCAAGGTTTATTTTTCTTTTCCAAACTTTTCACTTCCTTTCTCTTCATCTTTCTTCAAGTGTCTCCTTCTTGTCATCATGCCTCCTTTCATTTCTCCAATCTTAGATGTTTGGCCCTTCCAAAACCCTTCGTACTCCTGATCACCTCAATTCCCTTGCTATCCTAAACTTGAGTCCCTTTGATAAATTTGGTTTCTCCCAGTGCTTTCATGGCTTTCTCTAAAGAGCCCAGCAAGGTATTTGTCTTTACTTCCTTATGTGCAGCAACCCAGAAACCCCTTCCTAATCTCTCACTGACCTTACTATCCAGCAGGCTGACGGAGAACTGATCGTGCCAATCTTATGTTCAACTTATCCTGTGAAGTGTTAATCCTCTCAACAAATCAGCCATCACCAGGCTGTTCCATATCTCCTTCAAGAGTGTTCATTCACTTGTGAACAAGGCACTTGCCATCCATGAAAGTACACTAAATGATTAAAATCATGGGCTTTGACTGGGACCCAACTAAGGGTTGATGACAACCTCAGCCTCAATACCCATCTGCTTGCACCACTTACCTTGTTCCATTGTGTCAACAACAGATAAGGAAATCTCTTAGCATTTACTTTTGTTGCTTACCATTTATATCACCCTTTTCCTCCTAATCTTACTTCCTTCTATACCTGCTTCTGAAGACCTTCTCCCAAATCACTTACAAAATTCCTTTCAAAATCTCAACTGTTTAACCTCTTGTCCTTCATTCTCCACAACACTTCTGCAGTTAGCTATCTGCTCAGCCATGTCCTCACCTGTACCTTTGATGTCCTAGTTCCCAGAAAAAAATCATCGCGCTCTTCCCTTGACTATTCCCCCAGTATGGTCCCTATCTCCACTTCTTTACATCCAAAAGACTGGTTTACATTCAATGTCAGGTCAGACTGGAACACAAAGTACATCAGGCCTACTGAATCACAGCAAAATACTGTGAAATCAGAAACAAACAGAGAAATTCAACAGGTTTGACAACAACTGTGATAAGTTAGTGTTTTGCAACATCTTCAGCCAGAAATGCTGAGTGGATGACCTCCTACTGTAGCCCGAACATCACAGAAGATAGTCCTCAGCCAATTTAATTCACTCCACGTGGTATGAAGAAAGAGCATTAGATACTGCGAAGGCTAAGGTCCTGACAATATTCTGCAATATTACTGAGGGCTTGTGCTCCTCTAGTTAAGCTGTTCCAGTACAGTTACAACACTGGCATCTACCTGACAACATGGAAAATTGCCCAGGTGTGTCCTGACACAAAAAAGCAGGACAAATGCAATCCAGCCAATTGCCATACCATCAGATTACTCTCAATCATCCTATCAAGGATCATTTGCTCAGAAATAACCTGCTCAGTGACACCCAGTTAGTGTTCCACCAAAGCTGTCAGCTCCTGATCTCGTTACAGCCTTGGTTCAAACATGGACAAAAGAGGTCTCTAGAGGTCAGATGAGGTGAGAGTGACAGCCCTTGACATCAAGGCTGAATTTGACCCAGTGTGGCATCGAGGAGTCTTAACAAAGCTGGAGTCAGGGGGAATTGGGGGTGACCTCTGAGGTTGGAGTCATACCTGGCATGTAGGAAGATGGTTATGGTTATTGGAGGTCAGTCATCTCAGCTCCAGGGCATCTCTGTAGGAGTTTCACAGGGTAGTGCCCTGGGCCCAACCATCTTCAGCTGCTTCATCAAGGACCTTCACTCCACCATAAAGGTCAGAAGTAGGGATGTTCACCAATGATGGCATAATATTCAGTATCATTTATGAGTCCTCAGATACTGAAGCAATCCATGCACAAATGCAATAAGCCATCATTATAGACATTCATGACAATAAAGGTCCTCTGGTTATATTTTGGTGCAGCTAGCTGAGTTAGCAGCAAAGAGCACCTCTGCAAACAAAGAACAGAAGGTTAAGAGCCCTTCAGATAAAGTAACAGAGCAACCATTTGATTTAGAAGGAAAGCCATGAAGGACGGTGTATAGTATTCATCCCCTTCTTTAGAGAAGGATGTAAGTGCATTGGAAACAGTTCAGAAAAATTTTAAAGATCTGGAAAGTACAAGGTGTTTTGTTAGGTAAGGTTGGACAGGCTGGGCTTGTATCCATTGGAGTTTAGAAGAGTTAAAGGTGACTTGATTGAAACATAGAAGATCCTGAGGGGTTTCTATACAGAGTGCATGTGGAAAGGTGTTTCCTCTTGTGGGAGAATCTAGATCGCAATACTGAGTTGTGCATTTAAGGCAGAGATAAGATTTTTTTTTCCCCCTCAGAGGGTTAAAAGTCTTTGGAATTCTCTTTCTCAACAGGTGGTGGAAGCAGAGTCCTTGCATATTTTTAAGGCAACGTATATTTTGATAAACAGAGGGCTGAAAAGTTATTCATGGTAAGTAGGAACATAAAGTAATCAATCATGATTTTACGGAATGGCAGAGCAGGCTCAACACGCTTAGTGGCCTACTTCTGTTTTTAATTACCACGTAGTAACTATTTATGTTACATCTGTGCCGAAATATGCCAGCACTTGACTCCAACTTGTTGAGTTGGCTAGACATTTTTATTAGCTGTCTGTGGATGTTCTTCCTGGACAGCTGGTTAATTTCAGTCAGCTTCAATCATATTATTGGAGGATTGTTGCTTATGTAGCAGCATCACTGTTGCTAGAACCAATAGTTCTGCTTTGGAAGATCAAGGTTTGAAATATTGCTCTTGAATTCCTGTTGTTTTATAATCTAACGTCAAAATCAAATCTGTGGTGTCAATTTGTTCACCATACTGTACTGCTGTTTGAACAAGTTTAGTTAAAAATTCCTTAACAAGCTGAAGTGGATTGCACTACTCATTCATTTTCTATGTCTTCTCACAAACCTTGCTGGTTTCTGTTTTCTGAATTTTCTTCAGTGATGATAGGTCTGTTTATTGCAGACTTCATAGTGAGTTATAAGTTCTTCAATCTCTCTTGAGATCTCTGGGTCTGGCCAGTACATTACTGAGAGTCCTTGCTATAAACCTTACAATGCTTAAATGTCCCCATTGTATCATTTAAGATATCCTATAATGCTGCTTTATTTTCTTTGACTAAACATTAAATTGTGTTAAATAATAATGCTGTATTTCTGTATTGCTTACAAAGCATCTGCCCACACTTTGCAGTCATAATGTTGTTTTTTCTTCCTTTTGCAGGTAAAATGGAGCTTCCCTGTCTTCTTCAGCCATGATGAAGATCTCCCACCATTTGCATTGGCAAAATGGTCAATTTCCCACCATTCACACAATACATATTCTCTCCACAATTTTCCAAATAATGTTTTGTGATTACTGCCTTAATAAATCTTCCTGCCAAAGTCAGAACAAAAATGATTAATCTCCCATTCTTATCATAGCCACACAGGTTTTGTATCTCCCTCCATTTGATTCAGTTTCCTTTATCTTTTAAATAACACTTTTGTTATATTAACTCGGCTTTGCAGCATTGCTGACACTGCCATGCATTAGTAATTAAGCTTGTGAACTTGGAATTTGCAATGTATTCCTGCCTCTTGGTGGCAATGATACTCATTGTGAAAGGTAACTTCTGTCTTTCCTAGCCTGGTCCTTTGCACTGTAAATTTAAGGTATTTCCCTTGTATCGAACATGGATTTTTAACTTTAGTCATTGGGCTCCAAATTGGTCGTTTCCCAGCTGAACCTTGAATTGGGACTTCACCAACAGATCCATTTGGTATAAGGTTTCTGTAACTGCCAAGTGTGACTAGCTTTTTAAACTCTTACTAGCTCACATTGTGGAACCAACCATTACCAGCTAATGGCTGGTATAGAATTCTGCCACCAATCGTCATTTCTCCACTGGATTTAAGTGCCTATTTGGTTAACAGTGGTAGAAAATAAACCACTGGTGAATCTTAACAAGAAAAGGCACTTTTCTCAACAACATATAGTTTATTGCATGATAGCGCCAGGTACAAGTAACTTTGACCAGCTCAACATCATAACTGAGAATACATTTTTTACCATCTGGATCTTGAGCTGGACTCCTCTATGTCCCACGTAAGGCTGTATGACGTTATTAGATTGGATGGAGATTAATATAGTCTACAACATTAATCCTTTCAGAGCCATTACCTTATACAACAGCACTTCCAGTTACTTCTAAGTTCAAGGTCACAGGTTTGGAAAGAGCTGTTTCAGAGCACACAGTGTCCGATTTATGAACATCCAACCTGCAAACACTTGTACTTATGAACATGATCTATACAGGGTGTAATTTTAAAGATCTGACATACAAATATTTCCTGTACATAAAAACAGCTATTTTATATTGTCCTGCACGTGTTCTGACTTGCACACAAATTGACTTGTGATCGGACTCAAGATCAGAACTAGTTTGCAACCTAGAGACTGCCTGTGTGACTCTGTTGTACACCAGATTGTGGAAGAGCTTTTCTAATTTCATCACAAGGTCCCAGGTATCAGTGACGAAGATTTTGCAAGATTGACTGGCAACATGTGCATTTGTCATTTCTTGCACCTAAGTTGATGCTGCATTCACTTTCCTGTTGCTATTTGATACAACCAAGTGATTTATTTGGCCATTTCAGAAGCTAACTAAGACTCCACCATATTGTTACAGATTGTCAGCCAGACTGGGTAAGGACAAAATATTTCCTTTCCTAAAAGACATCAGTGAACCAGATGAGTTTTACTATAACTTTGTAATGACAATCATGAAATTACAGAGACTAGTTTTTCATTCTGCCCAAAGTATGTGAAGTAACAGAGCAAAACATTGCATTGGTTTATTGCACAATGAACATAAATTGCTGTACCGTTTGGCTGAGTTCATCAAACGTCTCTCCTGCTTTTTCAATAATGAAGCTCAATGGAAAAATGGGACAATAAAGATCAGTCTCCTCATCAAAACTGCAGTTTCTCAAATAACTCGGATGCCTGCTTTTCTGAAAGTTTCCTCTGGGAATAAAACATCAGAAATGATAAAGAATAAATAACAATAAGAATTTCAGTATTGCGTAAAGTAAAAATACCCCAATGGTTACTCAAAAGATTTAGGTCTGCTCAATAAATTTTCAACATTTGTCCTCTCTAAGTTTATATTCGTGCAAAATACAACCAATACATTTTTGTCTTCATTTAATACATTTTAATTTATTCATTTCTTCACTTTAATAGCCATCATTCATGTTCTTTAAAATTTAACTTTATAAATTATTGAAAAGAATTAAGTTATGAAACCAAACATAATCTGATTCATTAATTCCAGTTTGTATAATGGTGTCCCTTCTTTAATACCTTGGGACATGTGGTCTGTTAGATATGCAAACTATTGAAAAAGACTGTCTCAATTTGCTCTTACAGGAGATTTAATAATAAAACTCTCCACCTTTTCATCCAATATGTTAAGAAGCAGTAACCACTGGGAAGAAAAAGAGATCACTTCCTGCATCCTTTAAAATGCTACCCACTTAGTTTCAATTTTTGGCCCCCATTCTAAATGGTATCTTAAAAAGATAATCTAGCTGGAAGATCTCTCTTTTTTTAAACACCTTCATCAATATTGCATCTCAAAAATTTTACTCTGAACTCTATCTTTTTCCTGTGTACGATCTCTCTTTCCATTCAAGTCCTTTAATGAAATATCACCGCAACTGCATGTCTATCTTACCAGCAATTCCACTTAGATATTCTCCAGACAGACTTCTACCTCTGACACGGTGCTGAAACAGCCCCAATCAATTAGCATGTATTTATACGGGGAGAAAAACAAGGATGAAGGCAGAGATGTAATGGGCAATAAGGAAATTACAGACTTATGAGATAAATACTTTTTAGTCCCTTTTCATAGTGGAGGACGAGGGCAAAATATCAGTGGAATGAGAAATAAATCAAACTGAAAAATATAACAATAGAAGTTATAAATAGTTATGGAAAAAGAGTCAGGTCTGGAGATGGACAAATCTCCAGGAGATGGTTTTCAGAGTATTAAAGCAATCGCTGAGGAATTGCAGAAATGTCTGTCATAATTTCTCAATAAAAATCCTGAATGCTGCTCTGTTATGTAAGAAAATCTTGTACAGATCTGTCAGTTTGACTTTGAAAGCATAGATTACTAAAAGTTAATGTACTGGAATGAAAAGCAACTCCTATAAAGCTAATGTAATGTGAACATTTATATTAATTAATGAAACAAAAGTGAGAAAGTGACATTTCAGTTTTACAAAGCCTTGGTCAAAAAACATTAGGCATAATATGTCCAGTTTTAGGCAGCAAGCCTCAACGATGCCTTCAATAGAACACAATGGGTTATTCCCATGGTTTGAAGCATTATATTTCGATGATGAACTACATAAGCTTGACTGGTACTCCTTTGAGCTTAGATGATTACATTGAATTTGTTGTTTAATTTTGTGGGAAAGTTGATCTAAGCCATTTAGGGGTAATGGAAATTCAAGTTCCCACCTCCAGAAAGTTGTGAATGTGGTTGTATAGGTGGCTCACAGTACCAGGGGCCCAGGTTCAATTCTACCCTTTGGTGACTGCCTGTGTGGAGTTTACACATTCTCACTGTGTCTGCATGGCTTTCCTCTGAGTGCCCTGGTTTCCTTCCACAGTCCAAAGATGTGCAGATTAGGTGGATTGGTCATGCTAATTGCCCATATATAGTGTCCAGGGTGTGCAGGCTAAGCGAGTGGGCTGGAAAATGCAGGGTTACAGGGATAGGGTAGGGGGCAGGTCTGGGTGGGATATCCTTTGGAGAATCTGTGTGGATTTGATGGGCTGAATGGCCTATTTCCGCACTGTAGGGATTCTATTCTATGTCCAATCAATTAAAATCTATTAAAATACCGAGTGCGCTCTATTTTTATTAGATAAAGGATACAGAGCAATGTAAATAAATGGAACTGAGATACACATCAGCCATAATCTAACTGAGTGACAGAACAGATTCATCATCTGAATGGCCTACTCCTGTTGCTACACTTATCTGGCAAAAAACCAATTCAGCCAACCAACCCACATTCTCATTCACCGACGCCAGCTTCCAGTCTTCCAAATTTAAAATTCTCCCCTTCTAACAACAAGCTCCTTTTGTGATCTTTTCTTCCCCTATAGACAATCCTCAAGCACTGTATTCCTGATTTTGGCTATTTTTTTGTGCCTCCTCTCCTCCCCACCATTAGTGGGGTTTGGTCTGTATTTTTGTTAATGAAACTGTCTGGGATGCTTTTCTACTTTAAATGTGATACATAAATTCAAGGTGCTGCTCTTGTACATGGTGCTGTGACAGGACTTTCAAAGCAAAAGTTGTCACACCTCTAGTTACATGATGCTCCGTATTACGCAGCACACATACTATCTCAGTAACATCTTGTAAGCTATTCATACTTATACAGTTCCCTTAAAATACTGCTATTTTCTCCTCTGACTAAAAGCTCTAGTATCTAAAATGAATGTTTAAGCAACAGGGAAATTAAAACAAATAAAATGACCATATCCCTATAACATGGTTGAGCAAACATGAAGTGTAGCAAGATCTGAATGAGATGAGATACAAGATGTAGGTAAAAATTTGGTAGAGTGGAAAGAGTAGATGCTGCTCTTTATGTTGTTTTCTACAGCCTGCAAAAACTGGTGTGTTCAAGGCTTTAATTAGGTGAACAAGCATGTTAATGTTTAATGCCTTTTTAAAAAGATTTTAGAATCTAATAATGGGCACTAGTTTAAGCTAATTCTGGCTAATATCCATATTGCACTCAATTTTTAAACTTAACTAGTTATAACTACTTAAAAAAAAAACTATGGATAATGGTTGAATGGTATTTCTAAATTTGGAAGCTAAATTAAACAGAATAAAGATGGCAGGGCATATGATGTGTTGCATGTAAATGTTGGTGGAGGCCCAACAGCTTAAGGAATGTCAGATTCAAATTAATGAGATAGAGTCTGACCTTTGGACATTGTATTGTACTGGGGAGGTGGGAAGAGTTACCTGAACATTTTGTTATAGGAGGTGGGCCTACGTTCTTGTGCTGGGTACTGCAGGTTTGATCTGTGGTCAGAGGCAGGAAAGTGCAACCAGAAGTGACGCATGTTTGGGCATGCAAAAGGTGGAGGTGAGAAACTTCTGCCTTTGCAATTGTCAAGTTTCTTGCAAACTGTGAAGGTGAGAGCAGAAGCTGCAGGAAGGATGAGTAAAACGGCTGTAACACCATGTGCAAGGTGGAGGTTCTTCGCAGCGGACAGCCTGAAACCTGAGACAACAAGGTGCAGGGCTGGATGAACACAGCAGGCCAAGCAGCATCATAGGAGCAGAAAGGCTGACGTTTCAGGCCTAGACCCTTCATCAGAAAAGGGGGAGGGGAAGGGGGTTCTGAAATAAATAGGGAGAGAGTGGGAGGCGGATAGAAGATGGATAGAGGAGAGGATAGGTGGAGAGGAAACAAACAGGTCGAAGAGGCGGGGATGGGGCCAGTAAAGGAGAGTGTAGGTGGGGAGTGAGGGAGGGGATAGGTCAGTCCAGGAAGGACGGACAGGTCAAGGGGGCAGGATGAGGTTAGTCGGTAGGAGATGGGGTGTGGCTTGAGGTGGGAGGAGGGGATAGGTGGGAGGAAGAACAGGTTAGGGAGGCGGGGACGCGCTGGACTGGTTTTGGGATGTGGTAGAGGGAGGGGAGATTTTGAAGCTTGTGAAATCCACATTGATACCATTGGGCTGCAGGGTTCCCAAGCGGAATATGAGTTGCTGTTCCTGCAACCTTCGGGTGGCATCGTTGTGGCACTGCAGGAGGCCCTTCCACCCCAACCTTAAGTTTACCTGGACCATCTCTAACACCTCTCTCCCCTTCCTGGACCTCTCTGTCTCCATATCGGGCAACCACCTGGAAACCGATATTCATTTCAAGCCCACCGACTCCCACAGCTACCTAGAATACTCCTCCTCCCACCCACCTTCCTGCAAAAATGCTA